ATGTAACAGCTCAATAGTACTAGTGTTAATATCTTGAAAGTGGAAAAGACCCTTGATAAGTTAGCTTTTAGCTAATTTTTCTAGTGTTTTGATACAGCTTTATGCCCCATTTGTCGGAATTGATTGATTATGCTTTGAATGATGAGTTTCGGGATACGAAGTAATGGAAGAGCCTAGAGGAAACAAAAGCATCAAAAACATGCATGAGAATTGTGAATTTAAGCTTAAAAGTGTTGAGAGAATGAAGGAAGATAAGGTCAAGATGTGCGTATACGCTCCCTTCTTGCGTAGCTACACCGCTGAGGAATTGAATATGAAATTTTGGAGAGCTTATGAAATTAGCTACGCTGCTTCGCGTAGCTACGCCAACTGAAGACCTGAAGCCATGCTAGAGAACGCCGTTATGCGTAGGTACACACCACTTTTTGCGTACACGACTAAAACAAATTTGGTCTAATTAAGGCTACAATAATTTGAGACAACGCTTAAAAAGTATTGCCAAAAATATCTAAGGGGATGCTCTTCAAGGGTAACCTTTGAGGGGAACTTTTGGCAAAGAAGTTTAGGCAGCGCTTTGAAAGTGTGCCTTTACAATAGAAAGGCTACGCACTTGAAGTGTTGCCAAATAATAAAAATAATTACACTACAAGAAAATGCTTATTTTGTGGGGGTTATTTTGATAATTTGTGGCGGTTTACGACAACCACAAAATGAATTGTGGCGATTTTTAAAAATGCCACAGTTATGATTGCCACGAGCTATATTGTGACAGTTTTTTGAAACCTCCACGACGACCTCCACAAATTGAATTTTAAATTTGTGACGGTTTTCAAAGACAATTAGCGGTGGTTTATAACCCCCACAATATGATCCCAGTGATTTAAAAAAAATATTTGTGGGGCCTTATAACCCCCATAATATGATCTCAATTGTATAAAAAAAATTATTAATGAACTGTAGCATTATTCCATTACATATAACCATAAAGACAAACATAAAAAATTCCAATCCTTATCAAACTATATTGATACTAACTAAGGTAATTCAAATTTACACGCAAAACATCAGCTCAGTTGATATAAAGGGTACAATACAAATAGTCGAACACAATGGAACGTTGCTACAACATTGTAGAACAAAATAAAAGCTACAAGATTTTTCACCAGAATGTAGAAATGGAAAGAGGAAGTTTGTCATTCAACACCGATAAAAATCTCCTGTCTCCTTTGTTAGGTTCAGAATCTAGAAAGTATTATTACCAGTGTAAGAGGTGAATGTTGCTGCTACTTTTTGCAAATGTTGTAACAGTTGCAAGGTAAATACCTCTTAGGAGAGAAGACAAATGTCAAACTCATAGAATGATGTGTAGTTTCCAATTTCAACCTGCACCAAAAAACTTTTTCTTTATGATGAATGACAAAAGGAACTTGTTCCTCTCAATGAAGCAGTACTGTAGGTTATATGATCTGTATTCATAGTGCTAATCTATTTCGTATCCATGTTTATGTTGTCTATGAATTGAAATGGAAACAATTATGAGCTGAAGTAAATGCGTACCTTCATGTTTTTAGTATTGAATCATATATTAAACAAACTGATGATTTAAATGCGTACAATGGTGAATCTTTCAAACACATGATCTCAAAGAACTTTGCGAAAGGAAGATATCAGGCCAAATTGCTATCATCCTCCAATGATATATGATCTGTGGAAGTAGCAAAGGACCAACCAATATACATGATTCAACCCGTAAAACGTTCAGAGACAACAGATGACTTGAAAAATACTTACAGAGTTTTCTTAATAAGAAATCTCAAGCATATTCGCATCAACTACATACAGGGGTTACATTCTCACCCCATCTGGGACTATATCATGAACTTTCATGCATATTCAATAAGTCACGAGTCAATTAAGATTGTCCAAAATGAGAATAATTATGCAGAATCAAATACGTTGAGTTCAACATCAAAGTATGTGTAGAATAGTTAATATTATGTTATTCTAATTGTTAAGAAAACTATTGAAGAAGCTTGCAATATCAAGAAAGAAGATGAAGCATAAATCATGCCACATGCCTAGAGGTGAGATATAAACGCAATGATTCCTGAGTAAAGTTCATTCGCAAATACAATTTTCATTAAAATTGCATCGAATAAGTCTTTTATCCAAAAAAGAAAAAAGTGAAAGTAAACTTGGCATCAGAGAAGAACCTCTAATGTGAAAACAAATCTCTTATTCAACAAGATAAAACAAAAAGAATTCAGTTACCTATTGCAGTCATTTTAATGATAAACATTAGTTACTAATCAAAGTTTTGACTAGCGAGTCCAAGCCATCTAATGTTACTGAAAGTTCTATCAAAGATTAATGAATAGTGACCATGCGGATATATATCTTGCATAAAAAAGAAGAATATACGTCTAACTAGGCAAAGAATTACAGATAGCTAAGATTTTGGACAAGTAGAATAATAGTATAGTAGAACTGGGATTTTGTTACAAGAAGCAAAAGATACAATAATGATGTTTGATTTCATTCACAACGAATTGTCAATATCATCACTAGAGATCCAATCATCAGTATTGTTTCTACAAAGGCATCCAATGTGATAATTATTATCTAAAAGATAATAGAGGTTAATGCACTCTAGTCTAAGAGGCATTAGAGGTTAATACATTCTACTCTAAGTGAACCTGAAAAGAAAGAAATCTCACTCGTTATCTCATGAATTCATAGTGGAAATTAAGTAAAACAGTAAGGTTTTTTCTGGATCGACTATAAGGCGAACAATAATCCATATTTCAGAAGAAATTACATCCAGCAAAGCTACACAAGCATAATAGTATTTCACTAATATAGTCATAAATAGTGCGATGTTGGATAAACAGATATGCATATTGACGTTTTAACACAATCTTACAGTGGTGACAGTTCATACATGTATTTCCATACTATTGAGAAACGAACATATGACGAATATATTTATAGCATTGTCTTTATAAGATAACATTTAGGCGTCTTATACAAAACGGTCATATCTACTGGGCTCAACCATCACATTTCCATCAACTACTTGGGTCTAATTCCCAGGTACATATTGGGATTCACTGTCTATCCAAGTTTTGTAACACAGTTAGTTTTGCATTTTCCTTTTTGTAAATTGCAGGCTTCTATTGCAGCAAAGAGGATTAAAATGTGGGGAGGGGAATCAAATGGAAAAGCCGATGATGCAGAGAAATGAACTGCGATTTGGAGTCATTGCATTAAGCTCATCAAATATATGTGAAGCAATTTTGAAAATTTTAAGTTGCTTATTGTTCAATGTAACAGCTCAATAGTACTAGTGTTAATATCTTGAAAGTGGAAAAGACCCTTGATAAGTTAGCTTTTAGCTAATTTTTCTAGTGTTTTGATACAACTTTATGCCCCATTTGTCGGAATTGATTGATTATGCTTTGAATGATGAGTTTCGGGATACGAAGTAATGGAAGAGCCTAGAGGAAACAAAAGCATCAAAAACCATGCATGAGAATTGTAGAATTTAAAGCTTAAAAAG